ATCAAGATGGGGTACCAAGTGGTCAGTGAATGAACCACAGGGCCTGAACCTCTGGCCTCACAACTAATTCAGGGATAAGAAAGGGGCAAGGAGAGGTGGGGGGGGGGGAGAGGGGTATTGGAGAGAAAAATCTAATGGAAATAAGAAATTTAGGAGAAGGGAGGATCATCAGAGTGAGGGTGAGGGGACAAGACATCTCTAACAAAAAAGAGGCAGAAATAATGGTGAGAAAGGTGAACATATGTAGTAAAATGTATCACAGCAACTGGAGGGGAAAGGGGAGAAAGGAGAAAAAGTAACAGAAGATTCTGTAACCACCTGCTATTCAAAGGTAAGTGGGAGCTGCTGGTGCTCAACACTGCCTATCAAACCCATTTTATTTTCCAGGAGGTGCCAAAGTATTTTATGTGGGTGTCTGACTTGAAATATCCATGCTTGAAAATGTTGACCACGATGGCTTGTCTAGGTTACAAAGCAAGTGTGTGTCCAGATTAGAATGCAGGGCATCTTGGTTTCCAGCCCAGTGCTCCAGCCAACTAGATCATTCCTGTGTGCTAGAGAAATTAAACATTACATCCCTTTCAGTGAATGGCATGAAATTTATTACCATTTTGTATGAACTGAACCATGCAGCCTCATATAATTGGACTACTTCCTCTCATGTATTGCATGCATCACACAGCCTGGTTAGGATGTGGAGAAGTGTGACTAATTTGTTTCTACCACTTCAGCCTTTCTGTCCCCATCACCCTGTTCCTCTCCCCATCCCCCTAGGACTTCTCTCACATGTTCCTACTCCAGTGATTTCCTATGCCCATTCCCCCTGCTTTTCTGTACCAAAGGGTCTTTCCAATACCTGTTTCCTAATCTGAAGTGGCTTCCAAGGCCCTTTTCTTCAGCTCCCCTTTCCTCTGACACCCTGTCCATTTACCCTTTTGTCCAAGACATCTAATAGCCAAGCCTTTCAGTGCTGGTGGTTTCTCCTCCCCGCCTCATCTCCCCTATCCATCTCTGCCATAGTTTGGCATACCCATTTCTTCCTCTGAGCCTCCTTCCCCCTCACTTTCCATACCAGCTCCGCTCCTTTTCCCTGACACACATCATCCTTTCACATCATTCCAGTCCATGCCTTTCTGTCAGTCCTGCAGAACACATCCACCTGTGCTGATTCCTGCAGCCAAGTGGAAGGAACAAGTTTTGACACACGAGCACCAGGTTTCAGCACATTAACTCTTCAATACTGTCATATGGGGACTGTTCCTTTCAGAGCTGAGCTTCCCAGACAAAGAGTTTGGACTGCAGACCTCCTGCTGCCTTTGTACAAAACCAAGTAGAACCTGACTCAAACTAAAGTAGGTCTCTTGTAAGCACCTTAAGCCTGAAGTGATCACTGAATGCCACAAGCCCCAGTCCTATGTGTAAGAGCTCTTAAGGGAATTGAAGGCTGCAGAGTAATGAGTTCATCCACAGTTTCCAGCCCCCAGGGCAGCAGGAGCAGTGTGAAACAAATCAAGTCATAGGGGTGTTGCATTCAGAGGAGAAGGAGGAGAAGGCCCAAGGAGGGGAGGGGGGAGAAGGAGGAAGAAACATTCTTATAAAATGCAGAATGTGCCGATTGTATTTTGGGATGTTTCCTTCTGCAGTTTTGCACTGTGGAAGGGTTCATCACAGCCCTCATGGATGAGTATCCCCATGTTCTGAGAGCTAGGAAGAAGATCTTCATTGCTGTCATCTGTTTCATCTCTTACCTCATTGGATTCTCCAATATCACCCAGGTACCTATGGCTGTGTTCATTCTTCCACCCCTAACCTTCACTCTTGGTGCCTTTTTGTTGCCACCTCATGATAGCAAGTACTAAGAGGAGGACCTGGGTCCACAAAAGAAACCCAGGTTGCCTGTCCAGGTTATGTCCATCATTGTCACCTTTCCAGAAGGTTGGGACTCCACAGTAAGTTACCTCTCTCTTGGTGGGAGGTACCCGAGTACCTGCTATGCTGGGGAGGATGGCACATCCTTACAGGATGTTTCTGCTTCTAGCAGAAGGTTGAGATGAACCAAGGGCTATAAGGACTTTTGGAGCCCTAAAGCAGTAGCACTGAGGCCCAGGTTCCCTGTGTATGAAGCAGAGGCTCCAGTTCAGCAGCAGTGAGGGAGGCCACTATATGGGCCTCCCATTGTATGACTTCATAATGAATGAGTTCCAGCAGGGGCATGTCAGCATAAGCATCTGCAGCAGAGTGGGAAGGGCAAAAGTGATTTATTTAACAAGAGATTTCATCTAAGATTGGGAGGGGAGAGGGGAGCCAGTCATATAAGAGCCCAGCTTCTCTCTCTTTCTCTCCCCACTCTGCCAGGCCTGAATGCCTGCTCTTTGGCCCCATTCCCAAGCACATCTATCAAGATGACAGGAATTAGATTCTAATGGGCTGACGTAGTTCTGTTGGCCTCCCTACTCCAAGAAAATTAACATCCAGAACCAGCATAGCTAGAAAATAGCATTGACTGTTTTATTCATTAGTTACTCAGCCAGGCTATACTGGATAACTAGTCCTTCCGCCTTTTGCCATGTCTTCTCAGGGTGGCATCTATGTCTTCAAGCTGTTTGATTATTACTCAGCCAGTGGCATGTGTCTTCTCTTCCTTGTCTTCTTTGAGACCATTTCAATTTCCTGGTGTTATGGTAAGGGCAAGCCCCCTTGTTCCTTTGCTTCTTGCTTCTCCATCTGCATGGACACCGACACCAAAAGGGGGATTTTCAGAAGCCCTTCACACTGGCCCAACTTTGAAGTCTGTTGTACAATGGACAAGTGTCAGGCGTGGGCTGAGGGGTTTTGAAAAGACAGCCAAAAAGAGGGACTTGACTTGCTGGTCCAGACTGACACTCTGCACATGTTCAGAGACTCCTTCTCAAACTGATATGTTCTCAGGCCTTTAGCCTTTGATTTTTCTTAGGGTGTACAACTTGCCAGTCCAAACCTGATTGTTGAGTCTTATGGTCTGATACACTGTCAGTGGATAATTCCTCATGCTTCAGAAGGGAGACCAACATCCCCTTGTTTATTCCAGGCCTGGGATGTTGGGGAATTCCTTCCTGACCCCTACAGAGTCAGTGTATGGACCTGGTCTGGTTTACAGTACAGAACACAAGGTGTAATTACTCCTGTCATCATGTTAGTGTGAGAGGTTGTGGATAGTTTTACTGATCATAAGAAGTTATCTCAGCAGTTGTGAAAATGGCCTTCTCTGTAACTGAGGAGTCTGAGTTCTTCCTGTTCCCCAAAATGCTTGTTCTCCACTTTAATTTCACCTTGCTGTCTCTCTGATGCTCTTGGTCAGTAGTTGATCCCTGAATATTGATCCTGGTCCCTGGGTGATGATGATGAGAACGATGCCAAGATGTTTTTGCCTCGTTTAACTCAAACTTTTCCTTGTAGGTGTGAACAGATTTTACAGGAACATTGAGGAGATGATTGGCTACAAACCTTGTGGCTGGTGGAAGATCTGCTGGGCTTTCTGTACTCCCTTCATTTGTTTGGTGAGAACAAAGTGATGACATTTGAATAAGCTGATCCAGTTGGTCCTCCTAGCTGCAGAGGTCCTGTGGGTGAGGGAAGTGCTCAGTCTTTAGTGTAGGTAACTGCTCTCTGAATCTGGATCTGGCTGTAAGTACAAGGTTATTCTAGGCAGATGATGAACTGATAAAGAAATATCGGGAGACTCTTTCTGAACCCCTCAGAAGACATTTTACTTTTCTGCTTTATGTACCAGAAGCTGAACTCCTGATGGCACAGAATCATGGAAAATGGGGGTGGAAGGGAGCCCAAGAAGTCATCTAATCTGATTGTCTGCCCTTAGTAAAGGACCAACTATGTACATGAAAAAAACCGTGCTGGATATTTGTCTAACCAATTTTGAAAAACCTACAGTGATGGAAATTCTACAACCCACCCCAGACTGTCTTATCCCAGTGCTTAACTATCCTTCAAGTTAGAAAGTTTCTCCTGATATCCAACCTAAACCTATTACTTCTCATCATATCCCTAGTGGGTGTGGTGAACAGTTTATAACCTTATTACTGTGGAGGAAACTCTCAGTTACTCCCGTTCCATGTTCAGCCCCGCTTCCTCCTCCCCTTATACCTATCTCAGCCTGGGGCACTATCATCTATAATACAATGGTCTCTGGGGAGCTCTCTTCCCGCAGGAAATACTTAAGGGAATGGTGTTCAAACGACAATTTGGAATGGTCCAAGCTCCTGAGAACCAGCTAAAAGGAAGTGTTTAAAATGTTTAAGAAATGATATGGGATTGCTTCTTGCAAAAACAGCAGTAGGGAGTGGTATGAGCTCATTGGCTGGGACAGAGGAGTTTAGGTACCCTGACTGTGGCCCATCACAACTGCTTCATTCCCAGTTTCTGAGCAGGAAAATGGTGTAAAATTGTTGTCTATTGCAGAGGTAACTGAGCAGTTTTGTGTCCTGGGAAGAGGGCAGCAGCAGTAGCCTGGCTGGTGGTGGCGATGGCTAGACCAGCACTAGCTGCTATTTTCATGCCTATCCTTAAATTAGTGCCCAGGGTTAGTGCCCTGCTGGTCCCCCCTTACCTATGCTACTGGTCTGTTTTGATGGACAGTTTAGAGACTGGAGCAGGAAATGGTGTTGTAGAGATTGCTGTAGGGCAGTGATCTCAAACCTGCGGCTTTTGGTGAAATATTGCCTGGGAGACTCCACAGCATGCTCATAGCAACAGGAAATTTTACTTTCTACAGATATCTTTTTTTATTCCTGGTTGACAAGGAGAGCAAAGTAACATTGGTCAGTGCAATACTGCTCAGTATTATTACCCATGGGCCAACAAAAGGTTAGGAGCCACTTGTACAGGCTTATTGATTTATGTCTCACAGTGAAGTCTTAGGGAACTCTAGACTGAAGCACAAAGTAAGTGAATGTTCCTGTTTTTGGCATCCTAAACTGTGACCACTGGCTCTGTTTCCCCAGGGTGTGTTTGTCTTCAGTGTTGCTGAAATGACCCCTTTGACTCTGGGTAAATACGTCTATCCCACATGGGGGCAGGGCATCGGCTGGCTCATGGCTCTGTCCTCTATGTTGCTGATTCCAGGGTATATGCTGTACTACTTCTTCATCTCAAAGGGGACCATCAGACAGGTAAGAGCAGCACTGGCACTTCCCATTCTCCTCAGTTATTTGTCCCAGGTGAATTTGCCACCACTGGCTTACTATAAACCTCCCTAGCACTCAGGAAAGCAGGCTTTGTGCCGTGACATTGACTCCAAGGATGCTCTGTACTGCCTCCTCATTCCTCCCATCTATGCCTCCCATCACTATTCAGACCTGCTCCAAAAGCTTTTTGCTACTTCCTGCACAACACCTTCTACAGAAACCCTGCCTTACTTGAGCAACTACTTGGCTCAGGGGACTGGAGTAATGGTGAGAGGTGGCTCCTTACCTAATTCAGAATAAATCCAGCTTTTGAAAGCATGGAGGTTCCCATCACATAGCACAGTTCCAGTTCTTGTACAGCTTTGTTTAGGAGTGTCATTAACTGGCAGTCTGATGTCAGAGGCAAAACAACAGAATGAACACAGTCCCTGAACTAAATCAGGTCTGAAGTCAATTGGATAGGGAACCCTGCATTATAGCTATCTGTCTTGTGGATAAAAAAGAGGCTGCAGTTCATTTTTAAAAAGACCGAAAGAAAGAGAGCAAGAGAATGCTGAATCCATAATAGACCAAAGCCATTTTCTTTTGGGCCAGAAAATGCAGGCAGGGCATCACCCTTCTCTTCATTGATAGCTCAAGGTTGCATATTCTGCTTCATATGAAAAACAACAGTCCCCACTGCATCCTCCCCTTAGAGAACATTGAAAATACCTGGAGTTTTGCAAAAGGTAGGTTTGTGAAGGGAGGTCATGTTTTTGTTTGGGATCAAAGTATGGGGTGAGAGAGAACAGACACATTTCCAGTTTTCAAGCTCTCTTCATTTAGGCTCTTCAGAGCTGGAATCAGTTTGGCAGGGCCATTGCTAATCAACTTGATTGGGATTTTATGTATGGTTGATAAATAATGGAACCTAGAAGAAAAACAGGGGAAATGTGTGAGTTAAATTTAAAAGATATCTTTACTGACACTGAACATTAAATTTGCATTTAACTCATGCTTGAGCTCCTCATGTAGTTCTTTTGGTTTTCTGTGAGGTCAATTGAGTAAGTACCTGAATCTATTTTATTTTCTGAGATCCCACATACTGTCCCAGCATTTGTCTTGAAGGGCTATGGCAGGCTGATATTTTTCCTAGTACAAGGAGTTCTCTCAGCATCCAGTGCATATTGACAGTGTCAGTCAATGGGAATTAGAAAAGATAACAGTGTGATTCGTTTCTATTTGCTGTCCTTTCGCGCTGAGCACTCTATCAAACTCAGTATCCTGGTGCGCATTGACTGCTCTTCCAATTCAGCAAAATGTCAATCTAGGACTACTCTCCCATCACCCATCACTTCATCAGTGAACGGCAGGTGGCAGCAGGGAGATAGGATGTGTGTGAAGCTCTGGCCTCTTATACACACGCTGATCCTGGATTATTTTGTAATGGAGCTGAGGCTGGAGGAGAATTAGATGCCAATGCAGAATAAAGTGGTTTTGACAGACAGGAAAGATTATAAGTCATTTTGATCCTACTGAGCATGAATGTAAATAGACAAGAACGTAAATGGCAGGAGAGGCTCAATAAACATTTCAGACACTTCACCCACCAAGCTGCTGCAGTTGTGGTGTCTGAGCATGAGAGCTCCTCCTCTGATTTTGGATGGGATCCTCCTTTGACCTAACAACCTACATTCAGTTCAGGCCCGATTCCCCTTTACTCTGTGAACATGATTTATCTCAGTTCCCCTTTCTAAGATTAAGAAGGGACTTCAGTCTCTGTGTTCATTCAGTCCTAGGCTTCAACCCACACTCTTCAAATGATGAGTACACTTCTCCTGGAGGGATTGCTCTCTTCCAGGCTCCATCTCCATGCATGGTCAGTCCCAAGTAGATTCTTGATACAGGTTGACTGATGTTATTTAGCTTTATTTGGAGTTTGTTCCTGTCAGGGTGATATGATTGGGAATAAATGTTAGCATAAAAATCCATGCTGGTGTTGAGTGTAAGCTACTATAGTCCTTGGATAACATTTTAATTAAAACTTAATGGAAAAGTCCATGCAAAAAGGAAAGCAGGCCCATTTCGGACCCTGTGAAATGGCAATGATTCTGGCATGTGTCGTCTTTTCAAAAATGTTTTGACTAGCTCTTTTTTTTTAGATTCTGGTAACTGTTGGCCTAATCTGGCCTCTATTCAAAAGAGATGAATATATAAAACAACAAAGCCAGAGTGATTTGATTATATTGGCAAATGATGGAAGTTTCTTAATTGAAGCATTTGTTCCAGTAATCTTCAGAGGTTACCATCTTCTTGGTAGCTCTCTTGATGTAGGTAGGGATATCTGCAGTTTGGACAGAAGAAAGCCTGACCTTCACTTTCAGTCACGTCCCATGTGGAGAGGTAGTGGTGAAAGCATCTTCTCCTTTTGTTTTGTTTGTTTCCCATCTTATAATCGCCCAAGTGCTTGCAGCCTTCCTGTAATCTTTGTTTGTTCCTGGGCAGCGTTTTCAGCAGATGACACAACCCACCTCAGAGATGAACATTCAGAACAATGAACTAACACCAAAGACCTCATCAAACGGGATGGGCTCTGATGCTGCTGTCTAAGCAGAGGACAGGACCTGCTTGTCGTGCTCCATAGCTGGTCATGCTGCTACCCTTTGGTCTCCTCTGGCACCCTTTGTGTGTTCCCAGCTCTACTACTGGTTTCAGAGGAGCCCTATCATGTTACTTCCTTCCAGCTCAAGGTCATCAGGAGTCTCTGTCTACCTCAACAAGGACTTTGTGCACTGTCTGTCTTCTATAATTCCAGTCCAGGCTGTCAGAAAGGGTTTTCTCAGGCCTATGTCTGCTTGCTTAGAGGTGGTATTTTCTAGAGAACAACAGCTTCGTAGTGGTTCTTGTTTGTTGCGTTCTTCAGCCTCCTCTTCTATACGGAAGTCAACCATCCACCATCTGATGAACAGCTAAGCTTCCACAGCAAAGAAAACAGCTGCATTTTGGCTCTCCATGCAAGTCCAAGGTGATCATCACTTGATTTAATTTGAACCAGCTTTAATAAGCACATATTCCTGAAGTGCTATATGTATAATGCATCAAGGAAGAGCACACAAGTGCTGGGTGTTGGATACCTCTCCAAAATTGAGATCAAGTGTTAGGGCTCTGGATCCATTTTAGCTAGGGAGGGCAAGGGGATCTAAAGGTCCTTCTGTAGCCAGATAGTCTTGACTTTGACTTGCTTTCTGCCTTGCCATGGGGTTCTGTGGTGTCCTGTAGGGTTTGAGAATGCAAAAGAAGGAAATGGCATGGGGCCAAAACTGCGTGGGAAGCTGCCTCCTACCTTGAGCTATGAGTACTCCTCCCCTCCCCGGGCATGCTCACATAGTACTTTGATGGCAGAATGGTTCTTGCATTTTGCATTCTGTCAGTGGGGCAGACCTACTACCTGGAGAGTAGCCTCTGAATTCTGCTCTTGCAGGGGGATCCATTCCTGCCCTTGCAGTTCTTAGTCTAGCAGAGGGGCAGTCCTGTGCCCTGAAAAAATACATAAATCTCCACTTCTGTTTGTTTGGATCTTGTAATATAAATGTATTGTGACATTTTACTGACTTGCAGGATTGCATGCAGAATGTATGCAGCATTATTTCAAGTGTACCGGAACTGGGCCAGCAGGTATCTTTCTGCACATAGGTCACTCAATAAAATATAGTCAATAAGATGCAATCACTTGCTCAGTTTCCTTGCTTTCCCTTTGTTTCTGACTTCTCTTTTATGCTTTCCTTTTATTGCTCTTCTTTTTTTCTTATATTATCTTCTCCCCCCGCTTGTTATCCAGCCAGTCAAAAGAATCCATTTAATCTATCTATTCTAGTTGATCTCCCTACCATCTTTGTGGCCCCATCATTGTAGAATCTGAGCTCTCCTTTCACTCCTCCTATTTTTCCCCACCTTTTTTCCTCCTATTTTCTTACCAACTGTACTCTCCATCCCCACACACCCACTGCTTCTCTCCCTTTTAGCACTCACTGCTAATTAGCATCTCACTCAAGCTTAGAGACCCATTCTACAAGTGTGCTGATGACCACCTCTGACAGAGGCACAGAGCACTCAGCTACCCATGGAAGATGAAGAGGCTCAGGAAAAGCTAAGCATTTTTCAAGATTGAGACCTAAGTGCCAAAAGTACCTCCATGTCCAACCCAAGTGAAAACTAGCTTCTCCTCTTGCTCGCTTCAGAATGAGTTGGTCCAAGGATCAGTTCTTTGTGGCAGCATTTCCCAAACGAGGATGCATGCCAATCATGACAGCAATCAGTGGCACCCCCCTATACTTCTCATGCTTTTCTACTAGCTGCTGCTGCTACCTCCCTCATCCCCACTGATTCCTCTGCCAGTGATTGCTGCTGACAAGAGGAATTCAGTGGTGATCGGCACATGGAGCAGGATTAGGCAACGCCTACCACACATACCAGAGCATGGCACGCAAAGGCATTTTGCTTGGCACACATACCTCAGAGTGGATGATGGGGGAGCCATGAGGGGCTCGATCTTTGTGGCAGAGCAACCCAGACCCCTTCCCTACCATCCTCCCCAAGGTGTGTGTACACCCATGACCAGCAACTAGCTGGGCCAGGGCTCCGTGGGCCCTGGTGCAGCTGCTTGTAGCCTCCACTCTGTGAGCAGCTCAGGCTGTGTGGTGGGCAGCAGGGGCCTGCCCACAGCCCACACTGGCTGTGGTAGGCACCCAGGAGACTATAAGCATCTATACTGGGGTCAGTGGAGCCCCAGCCTGGGTTTTGGTTGGTGGCAGGTGTATGAGTGCCTCAGGCTGTGCTGCCACGATGAGGATTGGACCTCTTGTGGCTCCTCTGCTGTCCACCCTGGTATGCCAACATCTTGAGGTTGCAGGTGTTTTTGGCACTGTGCCCAAAAATGTTGTTGACCCCTGACCTGGGGTAATTGTCAGCAAGGGAAGCAGCAACAATGGCAGCTGAAGAAGGGGGAAGTGATAGTGCAGGGTGTGAGCCTGCCAGGTTTGGGAAACACTGCCCTGTAGTATAAAAATTGTTTTTCCAAACCACGTCTACCAGCTTCTATTGAGACTGTTGGAATAATTCATTACTGCTGTCCTGGAAGCCTGGGCATCTTTTATGATTTTATAGCATTCTGCATTCACTAGCACTGTTTGAATCTGCAGTCACTGTTGCACTTGTACTCTTATGGCCTAGAATTTGCACCTGTACAGGTTCTTCAGAATGTCACTGAAGTCCATAGCCCTAGTCACTGTACATACTGCTGCCCCCTGCCCTCCAATAAATGTAGGTGTCTCTCTTGCGTTATAATGCTCCTTTGATTATTCTCAGCCCACTTCGTCTCTCAGATACCACTTTTGCTTAGCTCTCCTCCCAGGCTCAGCCATTTCTGCTTGTTCAGTTTTGCTTTCAAGCATTGCTGCAAGCACAATAGCATTTGTGGAGCCTAGTTGCAACTGCAATAATTTTTAGGAGCTGCTTTTGGCTGAAACACTGCTCTCACAATGGAATGCTCCCTATGATCATACTTTCTCTCTCCTCCTCCTCCACAGCAACCTCACACAGGGCCACAGGAGAGGATGCTTCTCTTGTGAGGATTGTAGGAATTCTGCCTTTTTCCCTGAGCATGTAACAGAGGCAGACACCACCTCCTCCTTCCCTTGTTATACTTGCCTACAAGTTAATGAGTTTTCTCTGACCTCAATGTTCTCAAGCACCTGTCAGCTGACCCCAGTTCCTTGGCATCCAGTTGAAATAATCCTCCATGAAACCTCTTAATTCTAAGCAGCTATTTAGAGAGCAATGGTGAAATCTTCTCAAAAAAACCTGATTTTCCTGAGGACAGCAAAAAAGGGGGAGGTGATGGGGGGGGGAAGAACACTATTGCCTCTGTATAGTAAAGCCTGAAGCCTGGTTTTCAGCAGCCTCTGATGCTGGGGAATGGGCTGGAAAGCGAGACTAGTTCTGTGCTGCACCAACATTGCTTCCTCCAGAGAAATGTACACAGCTTCCAGGGAGAGGGCTCCTCCTCCACATGCAATTCTCATTTATTCATTCCAGTCCATGGCAATGATTGTATAAAATGTATGTAAGGTTTACAAGAAGATATAAAAGTTGTATGGCATGATCCTAGGTACTGTAGGCTTTGAGTAGACTATTGCAGAATTGTGGTGTTGTCAGTAGTGTTTGAACTCTCTATTAAAATACTTTTTTGGAAAGTTCTTATTATGCATTGTGTGTGATGTGGAATCTGAGCCTTGCATATTCTGTATGATAGATGGGGATATGATATATGTCTATAAAATCAGGAAACGTGTGGACCAGGTGTACGGGGAACTGTTGTTCACCAAGTCCTGGAACCCTAGAACTAGGGGGCACCTGATGAAATTAGTAGGTGATAGGTTTAAAACTAACAAGAGAAAGTAATTTTTTATGAAACACAGAGTTAAAATACGGAATTCATTGCCACAGGAGGTGGTGGAGAGAGATAGCACAGCCAGGTTCAAAAAGGGACTGGATAAATTCATGGATTATAGATCTATTAATGACTATTGAACAGAACAGTTGGAAGTTTTTCCTCTGGTATCTCTAAACCAATAATGGTGGATGTCCAGGAGGATAGCGAATAGGGGATAGATCTCTCTAGTGATATCTGGTTCAAAGCTCTCCCTCTAGAGCATTCATTTCTGCTAGTGTTGGAGACAGAATACTGGACTAGATGGACTGTTAGTCTGACTCAGTATAACCCAGGGGCAGGCAATTATTTTGGGTGGAGGGCTGCTTACTGAGTTTTGACAAGCGGTCAAGGGCCACGTGTGTAGCCCTGCCCCTTGACAGGTAGGTGCCCCACCCCCTGGTTGCCATTGTGACTGGAAGTCCCACCCTCTAAACCCAGACCTTTGCCAGCGTAAGTCCCTCCCCTTCCCCCTGGAAGTACTCCTTTCAGCAAGGGGTTTTGCTATATCGGAACCAGAAAAATACCAAATTTATATTCTAAAAAGCGAACATCTAAAATATTCATTAACTTGATTTCAAAAAATATTTTTGTCCTGATTTACATGCATCTGTGTAGTGTACATAGAGGTGATTGCACAATAGCTTAAAATGAAGTCTTACTCTTGTATATTGTGGGGGGTATAGGTTTGTAGGGGGCTGTGGGTGTGTGAGTATGTGGGGTGTGGGGGAGGGTGTGGGTGTGTCTTGGGGCGGTGGATAGGTGTGGCGAGGTGTGGGTGTGGGGTGAGGGGAGCATGTGGGTATGTATGTGGATAGGTCAGGTGTGGGTGAGTATGGGGTTTGTGGGGGAAGGCTGGCTGAGGTAAGTAAGGGGTGTGGAGGTCTCCATGTATGGCAGTGAGAGCGGTGGGGTGTGGGTGCTTCTGTATGGTGAGGTGTGCATGTGAGACTCACCCTATGCGCATGCACACACGCACGGGGTATCAGTGTGGGCCTTGTGTTCCCATGGTTCAGCAATGCAGCTGGGAGCCACATGGTGCTGGAGCAGCGCAGGGGCAGGAAGGTAGGGAGATGGCTGGGGGTGGGGTGGGGCTGGGCTGCTGCATCCTGCCGACAGCTCC